TGACGCAGGACCCTCTAACGCTGCTAACGCACCTCATCCCATCGGCTGACCCAGGGGTTGAAGGGATGTTGGAGGTGGTTAGGGAGAGATGTAGGCCGAAGGAGGTGATGATTGCTTGTGAGGAGAATTTGGAGAGGGTTGGGAGGTTGGTTGGGGATAGGGAGGAATGGGAAGGGGAAGGAGAGGAAGGAGAAGGAGAAGGGGAAGGAAAGAAGGAAGTTTCGCTTAGTATCCAAATCCTCAGGCTCATTCGAATGCTTACTGGTGAGTATCAAATTGCTAACCCTTATTGTAATTGTTAACTTATATATACAACAAGTGATATCGACCATCCCTCTCCGTCGAAAGTCAGCGTTATCGTTATCGTTTATACCCGAATTAGCGATTGTGATACAGAGAGTGGGCGTGAGATCAGATGGGTTTTCGAAAACAGAGGGAAGGGATGGGTTGTGGTATTCTGCGGAATTGGTGGAGAGGGTTGTGGATTTGATGGAGAAGAGGGAAGAAGAGGAGGGAAAGGGGGAATGGAAAGTAAGCAATTGTTTGGTTTGTGTTGGGTTTATGTTGGACTGAATTATTTCCAGGAAATACTTGTTAAATATATATCAACCGCTATTGATACTTTGGGTACTCACATCCAAGCGTCCCTCGCTAAACGCGCGTTTGGGGTGTGTTTTCCAAAGTTTGGAGGACCGTTGGATGAGGGATGGGAAAGGGGCGATGAGGTTGTTAGGAAACTCCAGTCGTGTTTTTCGCGTATTGGGGGGGTTCCGGGTTCAGTGGGTTCCGGGTTTGTGTTGTTCGCGCATGGGTATATGCGTGGAGACGGGAAATGGGAGTTGGGGACGTACCTGCCGTTTATGATTAGTTCTATACAGACTAACACTCTTCTCGATGAATCTCTTGCAGTCTTATTATTCTCCTTCTTTCCTTCCCACTCCCACTCCCTTCCCCCTTCATCTCCGTCATTCTTCCCCCTCCTCTCTCTCCTCCCTGTATTATCATCAACCCACCCAGATCCCTTTATTCGACACTGTGCCTTTCGCATTTTGGGGGGAATTTTGAGTGTAGTTCCGGGATTGGTCCAGGTTGAGGTGCTTGTGGAGCTTGTAGAGCGGGAAGGGTTGGGATCAAAAATGAGAATAGCGGCGATAGGGTTAGTTAAAGACGCGGTGTTGAGAGCTTTGGAACAAGATCAAGGAGAATATAGTGGGAATATGAATGTTATGACTTCACCGAGGTTTTTACAGGTTTTCGCACCCGTGTTGTTCGTGTTGAAGGATTCTATTGTGAAGTTGGATGGGGAAGACCTAGAACGAGACGAGACGATAACAGAGTTGACGAGGCTTGGGGAGGTCTTGGCGTTGTATTATGTTTTGGTTATGAGGGATATGAGGAATAGAGTGGGTTTTTTCTTCATTCACTATCCTGACCTGACCTGACCTGACCTGACCTGACCTGACTTGAATTGACTTGGTATACGTATGATACCATATAGACTGGCATCCGAGACTTGGATAACCGAGCCAACTTTGAACGGACGATCCTCGCTCCGTTGAGGGGGGGCGTACCGAGGTGGATTGGCGTGGTTCGGGGTGGGTTGAGAAAGGAGAAGGAGGAGGAGGAGGGGGAGGAGGAAGAAGAGAAGGCAAAGGAAAAGGAGGAAGAGGAAGAAAAAGAGAAGAGTCATACATCATATGCATCGGGAGGACTACACTCACACTCACACTCACATGCCCTCGCGCCCCTGGTGTCTTTACAGATTGGATTGGAGAGGATCGATGGGATGTGGGAGGTTATAGGTAGGGGGGGAGGTAGATAGGGGTCGAGACCAGATAAATACCTTAACAACTTCATCATATTTCTCAAAAAAAAACTTGTATTTCGAGAACAATCGACGCCAGCAGGATTTGAACCTGCGCCCTCAAAGAGGAACAGATTTCTAATCTGTCGCCGTAACCACTTGGCTATAGCGCCTTGGTGATCTTATCCTGTGCATTAGATTACAAAGAGTTACTTATTTTTCGTTTACAACGCGTATATGTAAAATTGAATAATGCATTTGGTTGTCGGTGATGAATATTGAACATTGAACACAAGAAGAATTATGCATCATATACAAAGAAAGAAAAGGAACAAAATGCAATGTCAGTCATTTGGGAAGTGTGGAATATGTAGATAGATATCGAATGAACTCGGTATGCAAGGATGGAGAAAAAGAGTATATGGGTTACATGGTTATTTCAGTCCCCCACGTCAGCTAGTGCCTGCGAAACCAAGAAGGTAGGTAAATAACTAGGCCATGAGCTCAGTTGAACATCATCGACCCAACGGACTCGATACTCCATTGCTACTCTTAATCGCCGTGAACGTCACTCCTCCTCCTCCCGCCCCAGGACTAGTAACACCCCCAGCAGGCAACCTCCCCACAGGAATCGCAGGTGGCTTCCTCCTCTTCGTCTGCACAGGCGGCGGCGGCGCACTCCTCCGTCCTTTCTCCTCCTTCATCTGAGCAGACCCAGGTTTAGAATCAAAATCAAAATGGGTCCTGGTAGGCGAAGTATTCGTATTCGTTAAAGACATCCCAGATAGGGAAGATAACACTAATGTGGAATTTAGTGACTCTCCTAACCCTCCGTGTTGGTTGTGGTAATGATGAAGATGATGATGATGGGTGGAGTTTGGATCGGCGAACGCTCCTTCGACGTGAGCGCTGTTGGCTGTTCCTTGACGTCTGGGTTGACGAGGGCTAGGACCCGAGAGAGATGGTTTTGAGGTAGAAGTAGGAGAAGAAGAAGAGGAGGAAGAGAGCTGTGGAGAGACGACGTTGATTGGTGGCAGTGGTGGATGCGGACGTGAATTTGAGGAAGATGCAGAAGGTGCGGTAGCAGCTGACGCAATGCCTTGCAGACTATTCACGCTGTTTGCACTACTGAAACTCGCATTGCTCGCGTTACTGCCCCTCCTGAAACTTTCAAAGAATAAGGGCGAAAGAGGTGAGCGAGGGGCATGTGTAGATGCGTCGTGTTCAGTAGGCACTCCGATGTTGTTGTTGCTATGACCTGTCACAGTCCCACTCCGAATTTTCTTGAACTCCATGCTTTTGCTCGATTTGAGCGTGCGAGGGGCTGATGCATGTGAGGATGTCACGTTGGATGTTGAGGCGGTACCGGCGGTTGTAGACGACGAAGAGCCGACACCGAGATGTGAGCGTGCACCATTGACTTTGCTCGCAGTATGCGTTGTGATGCCTCCAGCTGTATCAGCCGCATTCCAACTAATCTCACTATCATTATCCTCGTCTCCATTCAGACCCTTTGCTTCTTTGATCTGTTTCTGCCTTGCCAGACCTACACACCACTCACCCCCGAGACATCTTTCTACCAACCTCTTCGTCGTTGGATTCACGTCCCGTACGTTGGAGGGGCGGATAAGCGATTCGAGTATGTAGAGTATTTGTGGACGTTTGTAAGGGACCGTGCGGAGTTGAGTTTTTGTGAGCAAGGGGTGAAGAACGCGAAGGTAAGTATGTCGGAGCTGTGCGAAATATTGAAAAGGTTGGTGCTAGATTATAGATGAGGATGTAAATACGTACCGATTCACTATCATCATCCAGATCAGTCAGTTCGCGTAAGAAAACGTCAACTAGGACACATAAATCGTTGGTGTAAAAGTACTCTTCGGTACCTTTAGTCGTGAAGAGGAGGTAAAGTAGTTTGAGCACGAGAAGTTGCATGCAGAGGCCTTCTGGTGTGCGTTCTGAGGAAGGGTCAGTCGATCGGCAGAATGAGAAGGCGAGACACTCACGAGCACGATTCAACATGAATATCATATTCTCTCCGAAAGTTTGAGTTGATCCCAGCCTCCGCATTAGCACCCTCAGCACTCGGTTCTGACTCTCCAAGTTGCTTGCAGACGACGAATGGTGATGCCTATCCGAGTCGTTGGGCTCATTTCCAATAGACGCCACCATGAACTGTTCATTGAGCGCCACAATGAGCTTGATGACAGAATAATTGAAGGTGTCGTCCTGCATATGTCTTGTCTGTTCCACCAAATCGAATAAATAGTCCAGGAAGGCGTCGTCAAATATCCGTAGATCCTGAATAGACAGTTTCTGGACCCTGCACATCTCGTAGAGTAAACGCACACCCAAACTCCGTAGTTTCGCTTCAATCGGCACGGGGACATTGGCCCCACCGTACCCAGATCCGGATCCAAAGCCAGCAGAGTTTCCAAAATACGTATCCTCAATATCCGAGTCGATCTCTACCAAAATATGATCCATAAGAAATGGAAGAAGTGGTTGCCAGCGTTTGTGTGACCTAAAGAAATCTGAGCGTCGTCGGCCGAAGCTGAGTAGAACGTGGAAGCAGATAAACTGGAAATGGGGATTGGTGTTGGATTGAGCTTCAGAGGTCACAATGTCGGACATGCGTTCAGAATGGAAGATAAACAGCTCAGAGTCGAGGAGCATGTTACAGGCATGTTCAAGTTGGAAAGGACTCTGAAGATATTGTTCTGGGATATGTATTATTCAGCTCGTTCACTGTGCCAAACAAAACTGTCTGCTCACCATGATACGCCGCACACAATGATAACGACCTCTTGAGCGTCGAATCCAATTGCTCCAAGGTTGGTATAGCCTCTTTTTGGAGTGCAAGAATATCTTCCAGCTCTATAAGATAAATTAAAGAATCGGTGAGTGAGATAGCCTACTTGTCAAATGCCTTAGACTAACACACACCGGACCAGAATTGCTGAGCGTTATCCACAAGATAAACGATGCCTAGATCATCCTCCATTGTTATCGCAGGCATGGCAAAGCTGTGGACACTTTCTTTGGATTGTCTGTGCGGCATCTCTGCGATACAACCTTTTCGCGAGAAACCAGGTTGGGGAAGGAAGGTAGTGATAAGTAGTAAAGGAAGCGCCCACAAGGGTAGGGTTCTTAAAACCGATATACATAGAATTATGCTACGTAATGAAATGATGTAATCGGCGCTATAGCCAAGTGGTTACGGCGACAGATTAGAATTTCTTCGTGGTAAGTATCATCTGTTCCTCTTTGAGGGCGCAGGTTCGAATCCTGCTGGCGTCGAATCAAATTTTTTTACCTAGATACCTACTGTACATGTTCAAGTCCATGCGTACCGACACAGGAAATTTTTTGCATAGAGTAAAAAATTGTACATCTTCCGCCCAAGCCTGAGGAAATCATTGAAATTATCCGTTACTCAGACCCAGAATATTTGAGTCCCGTAGAGGGCTGCTCAAACCACCCTTCTGACTTACTCTGCTTATTCCTCGACTGATCTGGATTGTTCCATTACTCACTCCACTGACCCCACTCAGCATAGAACCTTCATTCAAGCTCCCTTGCTCAACTTCGACATTTGGGTACCCTCCATACTGCCTAGGTGGGATGATGATGGGTTCAATGTATACACTCTCCCTCGTGTAAGAGCTTTGCGTCGGCGAAGGTGTATATCTCTTTGGTGCTTTTCCGATACTCTTGATTCGGGGTGCGGAGCGAGAGCGACGTTGACCAAAAGCAGAACCAGGATTAGAACCTGTGCGGGGTGTAGAAACCTTTCCCAGCATAGCTCGTTCAATGGTACTTTCTTCCGAGTACGAGTTTATGCTTTCATTGTACTTTACTGACTTGGGTCGTTGAAGCCAAGATAGATCAAATGTTTCTATGCTTCTTCCTCGATCATGATTTTCACCTAAACTCCTGGCGGTGTTCTCTTGGACTAAACGTAGTTCAGAAGGAACTACGCTAGCCCTATTCCTGAATCGAGAGCCGGCACCCGCCAATGAGCTTTTCTCCGCATCGTATTTGAACGGATCCTCTGTCTGTTCGGTGGTAGGAGTTGTCATTTGAGAATATGACGATGGACGAGGAGAAGATCCTGGATGACGAGTGAAGATCGAGTCTTTCGCAGTGGGTGCAGTGGAAAGAGCAATGCTCATCTGATGCACGTGTTCGGCTGTACCTAACGGTGTGGGAAGCGTTACACCGGTTTGGGTGTCTGTATCTACGAACGGGTCTATGGAAGCCGGAGCGAGGACGAGGGAAGCTCGAGGAGCAGGTTTCCGACGAAAGGAATTGCTAGTGGACAGACCCGCTCCCTGAATGCCCCTCACCTTTGTTTCCGATGACGAGTCGGCAGATCCAGGGATAACATAAAGTGAATCTTGGAATGTTTGTTGAGTAGTACTAGTAACTCTGGGTGGTATCCCAGGAAATCGAGACGCCAGTACCTTGACAGCGCTGTGACTCATCGAATTAATTGAGTCTCTGAATCCAGAGTTTGTGCTAAAGTTGGAGATGTCTCTGGTGTGAGCAAAAACGTTATGGACGACAATTGGCTCTGGCTCAAAGTGATATGAATCGTCAGGCTTAGAAACGCCAATGGGTCCCTGATACGCTTTTGGCATCTGTGGCATGGAAAGATTATGTGTGTGACGCGTCATCGTTGAATTGGCATAATACGAAGATCTCCGCGAGGGTGCCGTTGAAAGCCACTCAGAGGCTGGACGAGTTTTGATACTTTCGACCATCTCGGTAGGACTAGGTAAATCTAGAGCAGAAAACCGCATTTCCAGAGTCGGAGCTTGACCTGATGCAGCATCGAAATGAACAGTAACCCGCTCTCTGGGTAGCATAGGTTGGGGAGAGGAAAATAATCTGGTACGAGTGGGAGGATTATTATCCCGGTAATCATCGAATGCAGCTTGAGTTGCGCCGGGTGAAAGTTGACGGAAGGTAGAAAGACGGGGATCAGAAATGAGAGGTCGGAGACGGGAACCGCGAAAAGACCGTTTGCGTTTTCCGGCGAGGATTTCTTCGCGAACTTGTTCGAAATTTTCGGATATGTCAAGGCTACAAGATCAAGAAAGTATTAGCAAGTGACAGAATAGTATGCATATGGCACGCACCCTTCCAATAGGCCTATGATCAGTGAGGCCCTCCCCAGTAAACGTAGGATTCTCCTTGCGAGCACCACCCCGAACTGCGGCGACACAAATCCAATGGCAGTCTCTACAGCACCCAGTTTGATTCCCAAAGTGATCCAGCCAGTTCCCCTGAGCAACAACGCCTCATCTGTATCGGAAGTCTCTATTCGTTGTTGCTCCAAAAACGCCTTGGCTAGCCGAAAGAAGGCAAATGAAAAGTTAAGAATTTGATAAGTAGTAATAAAACCGAGGTCAAAATCGGTGAAGATGGTCCAAAGTGTCTTATTATATGGATCGCTGAAGCCGACTGCGACTGTTGTACCTATGACTAGTCAATGGGATAGAGCTGATGAGATGCGGCTAGATGAAAGGTCATTAAGAACTTACTCCGATGGGTGATACCAATGAAAGAAGCCACTACGTTGAACACAACCACGACGGGGATGAGGATAATCAGCGTGAATTTTCCAAACATCTGCAGCCGTTGAGGAACTCCATCCAAAAATTTGGTAGAGGTGAAGAAACATAGAAAGATAGTATACAAAAGTAAGGGAAATGAAGATAATGCGGCTGTGCGAGGCGAACAATGAGCGGATCCGAGCGACTTGTGTGTGAAACTTACCGAGGGCAACGTCGACAGCCTTGAAAACTGCCAGATTATCCCGCACAGCGGGAATGATGTGTGACAACATCTCAAGCAAAGCCAGTGCAAAATAGACCCAGCCTTCAAATGTTAAGAAAACAAGCCACCTGCAAAAGAAATATAGATCACTTCAAGAGATTATCCCTCAACGAAACTTACCGATCAGAACTCCACGTCTTGAATATCAAAGACGAGGCAAACAAGAACTCCACACCAGTGGGAATGAACAAGGCAATACTCTCAGTCTCGGTCAAAGTCTCGCAGCGGAGAATCAAGGCCTGAGATAAACAGAGGGTTCCCATCTAATCGCTAAAATGTTGGGGGCAGCTCAAATGATGCGGAGCATTCCAAAGACGGTCTGATGCTGGAGCTGGAACAAATGAAGGCGAAGTAAAAGGAATGGACTGGCAGACTTGCTGCCACGCACGACCTGGAGCGCGAACGAAAAGATGAAAGGAAGAAGTGTGTCAATTGATAGATGCAAAATAAAAATGTGAGGACATATGTGGTAACCATATAGATTTCACTGGTTGCAACCGCAATAACTCCATCAAAAATGTCAGGACTTGTGATAGGTTAAAGCGTGCATTGCCAGACCTTTCACACCTTTGGAGTGGTCGTCAGTGATCAGGATTGTTCACGACGAGTACTTTGTCATGACCGAGTGTGATACAGTCTTGCCATATACAGCATTATAAGAAATCGAGAACGATCTCGTGAATATCCGTCGGATGAACGATGATACTTAATGATATGCATGGTCCAATGAATAAGTGATGACAACTGAGCATCAGATAAAACTGTGCGAGCGAGATACTCGGTTGTAAGCCTACTAGTGCAATAAAGTAATGAAAGCGATTCAGCTCTGTTCCGCCAAGATAACTTTCTTGCGTTCTGACTTGGGTTTGCTCTCCCCCGCACGTGTGTGTTTCCTTCTTCGTTCCTCCTTGACCCTTCTCGATTCGAGCATGGTGTTCTTGAGTTTGTTGGCGGCATATACTGGTTTTGGCAAATGCCGAGTTCTAAACGATAGATGTCAATGACAGATAGATCAAATGTTGGATGGAACTCACCGCACAACCTTTCCAACTTCTCTGTCCATTTTCCATCGATCCACAAGGCTGCTTCTATACTCGATCGCAGCTCTTTCTCTTGCAGTGACAATTCCAAGCCTTTCTGAAGCTTTTCCTTTCCATATACGAACATTTCCGTCATCAGATCCTGATAGGACGAAACGGGCGTCATTGGTGAAAAGAGTGGATGTCACCCTGTGTTGACAAGCATCAGATGAGGCTCGAGACAACAACCAGTATCAATTGACAAACCTTTGCATCCGTTTCGTATGATACACCTCCGGAGAATGCCCCTGTCCGGTTTGCCATATCCGCACCGTACGATCCCATCCTCCGGAAACAAACTCTGTCCCTGTCGGCGACCAGTCGCAACTCATTACTGCAGCTACGTGCCCTTTGTAGATCAAACTGGGAGCATTGAGACGCCGGATATCGAATGCGTAGAGGTTGTGATCTTCAGAAGCAAGAAGTATGTTGGTGGGGAATGTCGGTGACCACGAAAGAGCGTTAGCACGCATTTGCATGACCACCCGACGCTCTGCTTTCCCGGTCCGAATATCGTACAGGGTAAAGGTACGGTCAGAACCAACGGAAGCAAGGATAGATGATTCGCTAAGGTTGAAGCGGACGGATGAGATGGTTTCAGTAGAAGTGGGAAAAGTGAGGTTTGAAATGGGGGCACTCCTGTCAAAAGCATTGGTTGTTATTCACTGTGCAGATGTGAAGACTGACTTGGTTTCGTCCCATATTTGGACGAGAGTCGAAGCAGTGGCGAACAGCGACGACGATCTTTGATGATCTATTGAACTGAAGAGGAGTTGTTATGAATTGAATGGATATGGAGTGGTGGTAAGTGCATTGCCTACTTGAAAGCATATTTTCCAGGAAAGACATTCAAAGGCTCGTCCTGCGAGTTGGCGATTAGCTTTTACGACATGGCAGTAGCTCATCACGTACTGATGCAATCTTCCATAATTTTACATTACGGTCAACACCGCAACTAAGGAGTCGGGAGTCTCCAGCGAAGCACAGGCCTGTTACTTTTCCTTTATGTGCCTGCGGTAATCGTGCTATATGGGTTCTCTGGGAGAGATTATGCACTATAACGCCTAATATTGATCACAACTAGATTGATCTTTTTGCACCCTCAAAACAGACAATTTCACGTACATACCTCCGTCCCAACTGCCACTTGCTACTGTTGATAGTGAGTCTCCTTGTTTCGCAAGCACCTCTACAGCATCGATATGCCCTTCCAAAGCGCCCACAAATGGTTTGGCAAACATCCGGTCCATTTTTGCGGCATTCAGAGCTCTTGTACGTTCACGAGCACGGGAAAAAGGATGCATGAGTGGGTTTAGATTTCTCGAAACTGGAGTGGGATCTCCAGGTCTTGTTGCTGTATGAGCAGAGAGGTCATGT